TCACTGCTTCTTTTAAAATGATTTGATCAAATTTTATCTTTGCATTTCATGACATTCTATTTAGTCGTTTTCCAAGCGAACGCCTCAAGTCAGCAAAAGTTTCCAAATTTAATCAGACATGAGCAAGATTTATTTTTCCGGGTTGCTTTTGCGTTCGTCCCAAAAAAATAAATAAATAAATAAATAAAGTCATTAAAATCATGAGTTGAACCGTTGCCCTTGTAGTCAAAGGTTCAATGTTTAACCAAAATGTCAGATTTTATTATGCAAGTCAACGTTTTCACAATAAATATAATTAACCAACATATACTGGGAAATTTTTCAAGATAAAATTATATCTGTTAGGATTGCTAACTTATTCCCCCTATAAAGGACATTCGTTTTTGTTCATCCCAACAACCTGGGATATAACAAATTACATATGAAAAAATATGAATAAAATAAAAAGCATACAAAAAACACGGTGCTATTGGTGCTGACATTAAATAACAGTTGTAGCCCAATAGATTATAGTGTTCGGGGAAGCATTCACACGCGAGTCTGTTCCACAAAGTAACAGTTCTACCCGAGTAGATTGTAGTGTTCGGGGAAGAATCCACTCGCGAGTCTGTTCCACAAAGTAACAGTTCTACCCGAGTAGATTGTAGTGTTCGGGGAAGAATCCACTCGCGAGTCTGTTCCACAAATTAACAGTTCTACCCGAGTAGATTGTACTGTTAGGGGAAGAATCCACACGCGAGTCTGTTCCACAAAGTAACAGTTCTACCGATTAATAAATAAAAATGTTGCTCTGTGAGTCTTAATAAATTCAATAAAATAAATAAAAATTATAATATAAATAATAATATAAATAATAATATAGTTAATATAATATAATATAATTATATGTGAAATATAATTGATATAATGTATGATATAGTAAATATAATAATATGAATAGAAATAAATAAACATACTGTTTAATAAATAAACGAATCGTCTGCTCAAATATGGTTATCCGCTAAAAATAAGGTTTAAGGAATAAAATCAATCCGATTAATAAATAAAAAGTGTTGCTCTGTGAGTCTTTAGAGTCGCTCTTTGTACCAATTTCCTTCTTTTAAATGGTGCCTTAGACTAGGCAAAAAAATAATTGGTGATACACTCATAGAATTTCTATACTGTTACTGTTTTATTACCATTTTAAGAGTTTCAAATCATCTATGTAGATCAAGAGATTAATATGCTTATTAAGTACGTGATATAGGTATACAGTTGTACAGGTAGCATAATGGTCAGCGTCTCGGAATGTGAAATCGGCGGGCTGAGTTCGTCACTTTCGCACGCATGGATATATCTCTTCAGCCACCTGAAACTGTACAAAGATACAAAGATTTCATGCAGATACTCTACCTGTGAAGCAAAAACAGGGATAAAATGCTGTTGACACCGACGAACATTGGGCCTAAGGAAGTTATCATGGTACAGTTACTAATGCAATGCGGTTTAATAATATAAAATATTCAATTCGTGGTCTGTCGTCTGTTAATATCAGATATAGAAAGGAAACTACAAGAACTCCTACAGAAGATAGTGAAGGAAAGCGAGAAGAAAGGAATAAACACCAATCACAAGGCTGAATGAATGGTTGTTAGCAAAAGAGACAGCCCAACATGGAAATTACAAATTGAAGATACCAAAATCAAAAACAGGGATAAAATGCTGTTGACACCGACGAACATTGGGCCTAAGGAAGTTATCATGGTACAGTTACTAATGCAATGCGGTTTAATAATATAAAATATTCAATTCGTGGTCTGTCGTCTGTTAATAGCAGATATAGAAAGGAAACTACAAGAACTCCTACAGAAGATAGTGAAGGAAAGCGAGAAGAAAGGAATAAACACCAGTCACAATGCTGAATGAATGGTTGTTAGCAAAAGAGACAGCCCAACATGGAAGTTACAAATTGAAGATATTAAAATCAAACAAGTACAAAAATCTAGTAAATATCTAGTGTTTTGACAGAGGACGGAAATTGCGACACTGAAATCCAAAAACGTATTGGTATAGCGAAAAGTGTATTCGGAAAGGTAAGCAAATATTAAGAAAACTGTCATTAGAAACAAAGAAAGGGATATGTAATATCAGTCCTATATGGCAGTGAATGCCGGAAAATCTCTTCACAGATGAAGAAGAGACTTGAAGCAACAGAAATGTGGTTCTACAGAAGGATGCTGAGAATAGCAAGGAAGAACACGTGACCAACGATGAAGTTTTAGAAAAAATGGAAACATACAGGACATTTATACTTGCCATCAGAAAGTGAGAGTTGAAATTTCTAGAGCACAAAACGAGGAAAGAAGCCTTGGAAAATTTGATACTCACAAAACATACTGACAGCAAGAAAGACAGAGCAAAAGAACACAAAACTTACCTAGTGAGTTTGATTAAATGGATGAGAGACAAAGGTTTAAGAGAGATAACAAAAAAGATAATATTTACTAAGAGCTACAAAGAAATTGTGAAGAGCCATGATCGCCAACGTCCTGGAGGGACACGACGCATACACGAAGAAAATCTAATTTTTTCGATGTTAAGTTGAAAATTATCAGCACTTTCGATATAATATATCTATAGGTTTGTCACACTGCCTTCTGGTCATGCGTGCTTGTTTTTCGTATTATTGTGATCACGTGACCGAATTTTGAGCTTGATTGCGCCAGTATTCTTGCTGCTGTTGCAGTGCAACAACATGACCGCTCTGCTAGCAGTGTGCACCAACGAGGTAGAAATAGCAGTGATCCGATTTCTCTGTTCGGATGTTGTATCAGGGGCTGAAATTCATCGTCAGGGCTGAAAACAAGAATAAAGGACTAAACACCAATTACAAGAAAAAGGAACGCATGGTTGTTAGCAAAAAGATATGCAGACACAAAAAGGAAACTACAAGAACTCCTGCTGCTTCCTCCATGGTTTTGAATTCATAGTTCTTCGCCAAAAATTGTTACTGCCCGATACTGCAGAGCCCAGTCTACTCTACTATTTAATCTATACCTTGGTGCGGCATAAGAAACGGACTCATGCCATTTACCAAAGGCATCAACAAAGAGCAAATGTGGCCATACTTGCGAAAAGTGTATCTTCAAGTACGTGTATATGAGTCACTGTGGCCATATCAAACCGTGATGATCAAGGGAAAGCGGTTTTGCCTAACGTGGTTGATGTTCGGCCTCAACGTGGCGCCTCTATTCATGGTCCATTATTGACACCGTGCGGTCACAGGATGAGTCATTTAGGAGAGCGACGTCTGCGTGCATAGACGATGTGCATGTCAATGAGAGCATCATGTCGGGGCAAAAATGGTCCAGTATGGGCAGATGTGCAAAGATCCAGAATGTTTGAAGGATGGGGCTTCGTGCGCGAACTAGAAGTCTGGATGGAGGGGGCGTAATATTCTGCGGTGAACGCAGAGAAGTGCGATCCCTAATGTCCCTGATGTTATGACTCGGCGGAATTTCTCACTATGCGGGAAGATGGTGAAACATCTCTCCGTGTGTTGACGATTGGGTGTGGCGACCAGGTTCATTAAGCGGCGGGCAAACACAGTCACAAAGGGATAGGATGACCCAGTTGACGACATACCCCTTAAGGAGATGATGACAGAAACCGTAACCAGAATGCGACAGGAAGATCTTTCCCGGGGCGACTGGTGTGTCAAACGGATCTGAAATCAATGTATAGGTGGATGCAAACTCCTGAGCGACAGGAGTGGTGCTAGAAAAATATGGAGCAATGTTGGAGAACGCATACTGGCTTCGGCCAACAATCGATGCACAAAATATTAACTTGGCTGAACTGGATGCTGCAATCAAAGGCCTCAGTTTGGCCCTCCAGTGACAGGAAAAGAATCTGAACATAAAAAGCTATTCTTTATGTGTACTACTGGTTGTCTACACCCTCACGGACAAAGCTAGGGCACGTACCAAAGTAGCGAGCGAGATGCTGGTGTGAAGAAAGTTGAGAAAAATGAAGGAACTTGTCCAAGAATATAAGTTGTCTGTCGATGTGATGCTGGTTGCGTCAAACTAGAACTTGGCAGACAAGGTGACCCGTGTATTTCGAAGGTGGCCCGATATGGCCAAAAATGGAGCTGAACCTGCGCAGGCGTGTGTTGCTTCCTTCGACACTATGGACCCAGTCAGATAATGGAAGTACATCAACGCGGCGGGCATCGAAATGTACGAGGTAGCACATATTTTGTGATGAAAGATTTCCCTTCCATAACAAAGGTCATGATAAAATCGGTCATTGCGACCTGTGTGGAGTGCACAACAGATCCTGCGTAAGTCCATTGGAAAAAGGACAGACTGGAAGTGAACAATAATTGGCACCGGCTCGGTATGTATATCTCTTACTACCGCGGCTGTCATTAACTGACATGATCATGACCCGTCAGGTTTTTCTGTGTGGCGGCCGTTACACCGCCAAGTTTCATATCATACGTCAGCTGGAGTCTGTGTTCTGTGAGAGGGGACCACCACGTGATATAACTCACAGACAATGACACCGCGTTCCGCAGCAATGACTTCCGGGTTTTTGATTATGAATGGGATGTGTATTAGCGCATATCCCGACAAGAAATGGAATGATGGAGCAGTGTCACAGAAGTGTTAAGAGGATTGCGGCCAGGATGAAATGTAGTGTTGAAGAGGCCATCTACTTGTACAATGTAACCCCCAAAGATGACACCTCACCACCGGCAAATCAAGTCTATAAATAAGAGGTTCGGCTCAAAGGGATTGATTCAATACCTCCACTGATGTCTGATGTGGGCCATGTGTAAAAGGTGGGAGACCCCGTGTAAGAAAGCCGCACACAATCGGTGTACAACAACTTCCGGAAAGGGACGAATTACTGGACTTGTTACTCCGTAATCAATCTTGGTAGACGGAACGCCCCGCCATGCCAGGGACCTTCGTCCTTCCCTGAGTTCACGATCTTCAACAAGTGGTGAAGATATGTCCGAAAGTGAGAATGAAATTTTCGTGAGCGTGGATAGGCCAGATGATCCTACGGAGGAAGGATCACATGGGGACGAGGTGGAGGAACACGAGCCAGTCCCACTCGACAAAAGAGACCCGCTTCAGGTTGTCATATCTGTGGTGATAAGATAGGAGGGAAGGGCAACGCATGTCGGTACGGAGGCCTCGAATCGCATACGGACATGTTTGTCAACATCAGTTACATCTGGGGTTTTTTTCCCGTTAGCTGCAGGACAGTTTGGCATCTCTACATATGGGCCACTCTGCAACTGATCAACATCCGGGTTTTTGTAAGATGCCTCATGCCAATAAAAGCTGGAGGAAAACAGCAGTCGGCAAGACACGGTGTCTTGGGAAGTCGGTCCCGTGGGAATTTTGTTCCTCAAGTTGCTTCGGTTTTCGATTTTTTTTTTTTTAACTCCCGTCTCTCTCTCTCTCTCTCTCTCTCTCTCTCTCTCTCTCTCTCTCTCTCTCTGTTAGGTGCTTCCTCTCATTCTGAACACACTCTTTACTTACACTACAACAAGAGGCAAATTCAAAATTACTCAGAGGAAAACGAGAACAAAGCTTTTCAAATGACAATCTGTGCTCTTTTTGCTGAGGTGTTTATGTAATAGCAATTTAAATACTTCACGTTTTATCAATTGTTTTTGACAACGACGCATTCAGTGGGAACTCCCCCAGTCCAATATTAGACGTAAATTCAAAATTAATCTTTTGTTCATCGCCATCAAATAAATTAGAAAAATTATCTTGTTGCGTTGATAAGCACAAACAAATGTAACAATGGGCTTTCTTTCGTAATTACTGTTTTGCAAAATCGTGATAGAAGACAAAAGAGATAATAGCGTCAGTCACGAAGTGTTGAATTTTCTATGCTTGCGTTTCATGAGTTTGTCTCCCTTTTTTATGCCAATTGATAATTGTTGAATCCAGGCGACTACAATAACCAATGCTACAATAACAGACGAGTAAATAATAGTATCCTAATCACATTTATATGAAGAAATAAAAATATTATTTTCAATGGCAGTAAAAAAAAATACAAGAGACTATGTGAGCGCTTGTAGAATATTGAATAATATCCAAACAAAATTGGAGATAATGAGACAAAGTGAAAAAAAACTTATTCAGACGACACGTTTCGACCATTTATGGCAAGCGTCTTCTTTGTATGTGACAACAAAAGTTATGCAATGGATGGCAGATTCATTCTTAATCTAGATATTATTAGGCACAATAAATGATTAGCAATAATAACTAATAATAAAATAAAACAATATAGCACTATATTATGCTAAATTAACGGGCTTTATTATATTATAATGTATTTATTATATTTATAGACTTAAATTTATATTTATTATACTTATAGACTTATATTTATTATACTTATAATGTATTTATTATACTTATAAACTTATATTTATTATACTTATAATGTATTTATTGTACTTATAAACTTATATTTATTATACTTATAGTATTTATTATACTTATAATGTGCGATAATAAATGACGATTCTTTCATATTGCATTATAGTCATTTTTTTTAATCGTTCAACCTCAAGTAAGGCGATAATGCCTCTAAGGCGTATGGGGTTTACTGTGTATGAAAGAATATAAGTAAAAGAAAAACATTATTAAGGAAAGAGAACAATAAAAGAACAGGAATTAAGAATATAGAGTATAAGGAATCAAAACAGAAATCATAATAGTAATATGGCTTTCGCTTCTCTAGGACAAGTACTGGTGTGTTAACGGCTATTGCTTAAAAAGTCTAGCATCCTTAGATAACAATGGTGAAGTTCGGGTTGTTCCTTTTGGTATTTCGAAGGTGTTTGACACGGTTTGACATGCTGGTCTCCTTCATGTGTGGAAAGATTATGGTATGTTTGGAGAAATGTTTGATCTAATTCAATCGGAGAATCAAAAAGTTCTCTTCAACGACTACTCTTCTAGATCGTTTTAAATTAATGCGATGTCCCTCAGGGTTCTATCTTTGGACAGACGTTGTTCGTAATTTTCATTACTGACATTCTCGATATCATCAGTTCTCATTGGCTTTTGTGATGATGACACAACTATTTACACCTGTCTTAATAGAATTGTGGAATTTTACTGAAAAGGTATCGAAGAGCTGCCTGATAAGTGGCAACAAGTCATTGCAAATAAGGTGAATATATAATTGAATACAATGTAATTATACTTACTTTTGAAGAATACAGTTTATGAACAAAAACAGAAATTTATCATAGATTATAAAGGTCGCAAATATTGAGTAATATAACAATACTCACAGAATTACGAAAAAAATAGCCTTTTTCTTCATAGAAAAAATTGTAAATTGAAAGTCTGTAAAAGAAATAAACTATAAAAATATTCTATAAAACCTCAATAACATTCTTTACCCGTTCAAAAATCCAAAATATATCTGTAGAGAATTCAAAGTTAAAACTGACAATATATTGAACACTTAAAACAACTTAAATACTTAAATTAAATTACTATATAGTGGGATCACGTTGCTAATCATTAACTAAAGGGACAGTTCATTGTTACGAATAAAGAAACACCAATGCCGTTATATACGTTACTAAGTTTTAAAATACAGTGAAACACTAAATGCACATTTATACGCCCAGCAGTTGCAATGTGCCCATAAACGTTTGGTCGCAAAGCTCTCTGAGCCCGTCAATAGGAAAAACGTTGTTCTCCTCCATGAGAACACAAGTCCGCATACAACAAGAATAACACAGGAAAACATCTTGGAACTCGGTTGGTCTGTTCTACCACATCCGCCATACGTTAAAAAATGTGTAACCTTATTGTCGTACATTAATATTGAAAACATCAGTATTAATCTCTCATACGGGAGTGCACATCCTAGACCAATTTGGGCCGATCACGTCTCCACATGTCGAGTGTAGCCATTGACATCGCGGAGGTCATATATCAGATCCACCCGCTGATGCACCTGATTTCTCTGAAGGACACTAAGTTTATTTTGACATATGTGGTGTGTCATATACTACAGATGGAAATGCTAAAAGTAATTCCAAAAACAATGTTAAATTTCTAAAAATTATGTAAATTAACATCGAAATGTTTACAAAAGTAACCATAATACCTATTTGTTAATGGAATATTAATTAACTTGCTTATATAATATGTGGTGGTATAACATTTTATTAGAACTTTAAAAGCAGATATCTTAAAAGGATATATAAATATATAAAAAAAATATACAAGACAAATAGGGAAGAAGAGCAAAGATAAGAACAAAATTTACTTACTGTAAAATGGTGGATCGATAAATATAATAAAAAAGCAACAAAAAAGAGGTAACTGGTTATCGCTTTTCACTCCTGAGAGTTAATCGATCCCCAAAACATATTGTTCCGTTCGTTGTCGTCTTTGGGTCCCCACGCTTCTACATAAAATGGTATCAACAAAAAAGACGATTTCATTTTTTTTTATTTCTTTTTTAGGAAAGGTGGGGGCAGACGTGGCAGCTTGGATTCTAAGAAGCAGCGGGAGGAATGACGTCACGAGAATGCATGTTGTATGTTGGCTCAGCGCCACTCCATGGGTGGTCTTAGTCGGTCTCTCAACCTGGATCTGGGAATCGTATCGACGCTTAAAAATATTTGCGGCCTTTTGATGAATTCGCGCTGTTTTGGACATTTGGACTATCCAGACGAAAGCAATCAATCACTTTCAGAATACCACGGCCACAATCGCTGACCATTCTGCCCTTCGCATTCTGTAACGATATAAATATGAGCACAATGACTAAAAAAGGGGAGGAAAATAGTTACTACAAGAAAATCAACAGTATAAATCAATCAGAGGAAAGGCTGCTTAGACTTAATATAAATCGTTTAAAAAAAAGAAACTCAGATACTAATCCGAATGCACTGATTGGTGTACAAAACTCTCTGGTGAAAGATGAGGCAAGAGAAGCATGTCTATCGGATTTACTATGGTTCATTGTATAAAAGACAAGGTTTATATGCATTAATGACTTACATAGGTAAATTGAGTAACGGTGTAGAGATGCGCTAATACAATATCACCGTTATTCGTCTTTAATGGTGAAATTAAGCTAAATAATTTTTATTCGATTTGTTTGTTTACCCAGGACGAGACTCTTTTTTTCTCCAAATACTTTCTCCTACTATTACTCTCTATCTCTATCGTACTTTCTTTATCTCTCTATACCTGTTTCTCTTTCTTTATTTCTCTCTCTTTATTACCCCTCCTTTATTTCTCGCTCTATATCATCTCTTTCTCGCTACCGCACTCTCTTTTTCTCACTTTCTCGATTGCGCTATTAATTCAAGCTCTTTCTCTTTCTCTCTCTCGTTTTCCACACACACACACACACACACACACACATATATATATATATATATATATATATATATATATATATATATATATATATATATGTATATATATATATATATATATATACTTGTCTTTCTCGCTAGGTATCCTTTCTTTCACGCTATTCTTTCTCTCTATTCCTCTCTCTTCTTCGCCGCTTTCTTTATTGCTCTTAATACCTCCTCTCTCTCTAGCTTTATATATATATATATATGGATATATTCCTCTATTTTTTGCCGTACCCTCTCTATCTTTCTCGCTATATCTCGTTTCTCCGTTTCTCTTTTGCTCGATTTCTTCCACTTTTTTAAACACTTTCTCCCTCCCCCTCTCTTTCACCCTTTCTTTCCTTAACTCTCTCTCTCTCTATTTCTGTCTCTGTGTCTCTCTCTCTTTCTCTGTCTATCTCTCTCCCTTTCTCTCTCTCTCTCTCTCTCTCTCTCTCTCTCTCTCTCTCTATCTGTATTTTTCTGTACATTTCTTTCTATTTCCTCGACTACCTTTCTAAGCATCCTTTCACCTCCCATGACAAATAAACGCGCAACATTTCAGCTCCCCTCCCTTCCTTTATTTGGATTCAAGTTTAGTCCGTTCCGGTATCATTAGCGTTATTAAGTTTGATCCGCCATTTCCGTTATGATGACCTCAATTGATCGTCTTGTGTTGCCTGTGTTAAAAGGCCAACGCCAGTGGTAAAGGGCGATAACTTCTATCAATAATTTTAAAAGCCGGAATGAAATAAAAAATCAAATATGCAAACAAATATAATTTGAAAAATGAAACATAAAAGCACTATGTTATAAGCTAAATGGTCGGAGGAACATACATACATACACACATATGCATACAAACATACAATACATATATACATACTTAGATACATACATACACACACACATTTATACATACAGATATACATACACACACATATACACATTCATACATGCATAAAAATATATGAATACAGACGCATATATTCACACATACATTCATAAATGCATAAACATATACACATACATACGCATATTCATACATACATACATACATATATATGCATGCATATATATATATATATATATATATATATATATATATATATATATATATATATATATATACATACACTCATAAATGGATAAAAAACATATGCATACATACATACATTCATACATGCATAAACATATATGCATGCATACGTACACACCTGCATATATATATACACATACATACACATACATATATACATACATAGATACATACATACATGTATATACATACTTAGATACATACATAAATACACACATACATTTATAAATACATATATACATACGCAGATACATTCATACATGCATAAACATATATGCGTACATACATACATACACATCCATTTACATATACATACATAAACATATATGCATACATACGCACATTCATACATGCATACATATACATACATAGATACATACATATATGCACATACATACGCATACATTCCTACATGCATAAACATATCTACATACATATGTACGCTTATATACATACATATATGCATACACATGCATACATAGATACATACATACACAGGCATACATAAACACATATATACACACATACAAACACACGGACATACATGCATGCATACATACAGGTACTGATGGAGACAAACATAGAAATTAAGAATTTAATAGATATATGTATAAATGGGATTAACGAATACTTTTTTTAAAAACTAACTTAAAAGCCGCCCTATCGAGCGGCATTTAAGTTAGCTCATGCAGAGGGCTCTTTATTGGCCCTTCATCGCAATAGGTAGGGAGGAGCAGATGCAACAGGCAACAATAAACTACAGAAGAACTCAAAATTTCTCGCTGCATTTAAGTATTGCATTAATATTTAAGTTTACCTTTTAAAAGTTCAACGATAATTCTTCTGCCGCCACTTAATTTAAAAACAATTTGATGTACGTAGGTCCTTACTTCTCGTAGAATTATTTTTATTTTATGGATGACTTTCGCTGGATTTCGCAATTAATTTCGATTATTCCCAAATTTATTTCCAAGTTATAAAAAATTGTTATCATACAAAAAAATTCGTCGCAAAAAATCACGTAAAAAAATCGTGGAATGCAATCGCAGTAATAAAAACTTGGGAATCCAAAATTTCAGGATTGCGGGTCTGGATCCGAGCCGGAATGTTATTAATTTGCTTACAATGTCGGCCTGATTCCAAAATGGTATGATATATTGGGTTACGGCCTCGAGGAATAACGTTGAAAAGTTTGACACACTGACATTCGCATTTATTATATAGATATAATAAGATATAAACCTAAATAGATTTCAAAACAAAGCCAGGGAAGACCAAAGACGAATGAAAAGAAACATTACACCTAATAAATAATCCGACTTGTGTCCCGTCTTTATTAAGTTTTTTTGTTTTGTTTTTTTCACAGTTTCATCTCATATGACTCTGAATGATAGGCAATCTCCTCACAGATCAAAAGAAAACTGGAGGCAGCAGAACTGAGAATTCCATGGATGGAATGAGTAAGCAGCGAGGAAAATCTTAAAGAAAATAGTAGCAAAAAGAACACTTATACTCAGAATCATTTTTGAGATAGTTGAAATTTCTTGGACACCTAACGAGGAAGGAGACTTAGAAAACATAATCCTCACAGGGCATATTGAGGGCAAGAGAGATAGGGCGATGCAGCGAGCCATCTAGTCGAACAGCATTTTTGAATGCATGATGAAAAGGGGTGCGGATGGCTTAGAAAAGGAGAAAAACTGCTAAGGGCCACAAGGGATATGAAGTTGTGGGGAGCCATAATCACGCATAAGAAGAAGAAGAAGAAGAAGAAGAAATCATCAGAGCACATTCGGATTACGATGAGAGCACTGGTTACCGTGTATATTAGGTCTAAGTAGTCTTCCCTCTGTAAGCCGATGAATAGTTGATGTGTCTAAACGCAATTTGTCTGTGATTTATACTAATGATTCTCTGGTAGTATTTTCCCCATTTTTTTAAAACCAGTTATATGTTTTGTCCTCGGTTGTGCTCTGAAGAGCGAAAAGCGATAAGCGGCTAGACTTTTTAATTTTACTTTTTTTTTTCGATCCACGACTTTACGGTGGGCAAAATATTTTTAATCCTTGCTCTTCCTACCCTTTAATACTTTTGTATATATCTATATATGGTTTTAAAATGTCCGTTTTAAAAGCCCTAATAAAACTGGAGGTTAGCATCAGCCATGCTGACGGAAAGCAAAAGGCCATTCTCAGACGATTAAAAGAGAGCAGTTTCCAATTATAAATTTCCTAATTTTATATAATAGTAAACAAACACACACACACGCGCGTGCGCACACACACAGACACACACACACACATATATATATATATATATATATGTGTGTGTGTGTGTGTGTGTGTGTGTGTGTGTGTGTGTGTGTGTGTGTGTGTGTGTGTGAAAATATACAGAAAATAGGAAGGAACAGGTTAGGTAAATAATCCAAAAGTTCCTTAGTATTTTAGTTATTATTTTAAAAAATAGTGCTCGATACAAAAGTAGAGCATAAATATAATTATATATATATATATATATATATATATATATATATATATATAAAAAAAAGAAAGAACAGATTTTGAATCCACGAGGGACATGAGTCATTTAAAGACTTACAAGTAACGAGAATTTGTAAGTCCCTAAATGACCTTTGTCCCCTGTTTCTACATGAAAAGCTACATATTAAGTTTCCTAAAAATAATGATCTATAAAATTAGCGTAATGAACTAACTGTAATATGTAGACATTGTATAATGGTAACCTTAAAATATAGTTAATAGAATTTTTCATAAAAAAAATCTATGTATAAATATCCATTATTTTATTATATATAATGGTACATGTAATATTGATTTAATTCCTTGATTTTTTAATTTTAAATATTGCCTTGTGTTAAAGCCCATTTAATAGAATAAATATTGTATATTAAGTTATATATTTTAAATTATAGTTAAAAAGTATTTAATCATACTAGAGGCCCCTTCAAGATTGTTCTTAAGTATATATAAAAATAATTTTAAAAAACTAAAATTAACCCATTGTTATATAAGTTTCTAAATAATAAAAATCTATTAAACAATAAAAATCTATTAAACAATAGACATGAGTTAACGGTTTTTTGCCGACATCATCCAATTTTTGCATTGAATAATTAGCATAAAAACAAACAAACAATAAAATAATTTTTAAAATCCATAGTCCTAATAAATAGTTTAAATGCCCTACAAAAAAAGATAACCCTTTATGAAGTCGTCAAAAAACAAATGTCACGGCAGTTTTTATATACACAAAACCCTTTCAGAAAAAAATAAAATAAAAAAAAAATAAACAAATCTCCATAGACACGTAAACCAGACTAGGCAAAATCATCTTCCGTTTTAAATTTAGACACCCCAACCTTACTCTGACTTGACATCTGTGAATGTAACTTTATACTGATATAAATTATTAACACCTTACACCCCTGTTTATTTAAACAATTGCTCTAGCCATTACCATAGAAATTTTGATTTCAATAATGAATATGCTATTAAAACAAGTAAATTTCAGAAATAAGTTATTCAAAAAAAAATTTCGCTTGAAGATGGAACAGAGCTTACTTTAATTCAATTTAATTCAAATAATTGAAGTTTTCGGCTCTTGTTTTGAAACATGAGGACTCTTATGTAGCGTGTTGGAATCATATTTTTAAATAAATAATCATATATAAGTTTAAGTTGGTGAATGCTGCCATAATCTTTGCCTTCAGTTCATCTTTGATGTTACAAGGAGTTTTATTGGTATCTCTATCAACCTCGCCCCACATATAATAATCAAGGGAGTTGCACGCTGGGGGGGGGAGGTTAGGTGGCCAGATGTAAGAGGTGATGTAGTCGCAAAAATGGTCTGACACCCAAACACTTTTAAATGTTCGTATTGGAGCTCCCAGTGCAAATTCCAGGCAGTACAGCATACCGTTTCTAAATTTCTTGCGGAGTCAATTGCGTTATGGTGTTATTTTGCTCACAGACGGTGCCCAGAAGGAAGAAAAGAGTGATGAACTGCTATGTAATACCGATCCTTCTATATAGCAGTAAATACTGGACAATTTCCTCACTTATGAAGACGAGACTAGAGGCAACAGAAATGTGATTCTACAGAAGGATGCTGAGAATATCATGGATAGATCATGCGAGCAACGAGGAAGTTTAAAGGAAAATGGAAACGTAAAGGAAATTTATGCTTAGAATCAGAAAGAGATGATACTTTTGCACACATAATGAGGAAAAAAGGGCACATGGCACAGTGAATAAAGGCGTTGGTTAGATCCAGTGACAGGACCCAAAGAGTGTGAGTTCAATACCCGGTTAAGGCAGTGGAGAACTTTCAGAGGGAAATTAACAGGAGATAACTGATAATTGACATCCATTAAACATGACACGTGGAACTAGAACAGTCTACCCCATTGAGCGAAATAAAGGGCTAAGTTCGACATTCCAACCACCTGAAGAAGGTCGAAACGTTGTGATAAATACGGCGGCAAAGATGAGGACAATATTCCAAATAATGTAAATAATGTACATAATACCTCATCTCAGAAATATAGACAGATACCCGAGGAAAAAGGGATTCGAGAATTTAACACTCATGGGGCATTTGGAAGGCAAGAGAGTCTGCGGAAAACAGCGAGTAACCTACCTAACAAGCTAATATATATAGATGACAGAACAAAGATAAAAAGAATAGTAAAACAAAAACATTGCTAAGAAGTACAAATGATAGGAAGTTGTGGAGAGCCATGATTGTCCACTTTCTGAATGGGCAGGTTACATAAAATAAGAATTATTATTTTTATTAGAATATAGTGTCAGGTTTTAAACCGGAGACATTGAAGCATCTTGCCTGATATTGTAACCACAAAGCTAATATTCCAGGGGTTTTTCGTCCATTCATCTCCTAAATGAACTTACGACCACATCAGGTTGAAACAACACCCGTTACCGTACGAACACTGAAGTGAAACAAAACCGAGCCTTGTCAGTATCTGGATGGATGACCGTTTAGGAATACCAGGTACTGGCATCTGTTGGATGTGCGGGTGGTATAATGAATAATAGCTCGGAAATGTTGATCTGAGAGCTGCGTTCCAATTCCAGTTGGGTTCGTTATATTCACTTACGAGCAAATAACCTTGGGAAAGATATAAATCCACCACTTCTCCTCCCACCCAGTTACGGGTTAGTTAGTAAAACTTGTATCACTAAACCCATTATTATCTATAAAAAAGAAAAAAAAAAAAGGATAAAATTGCATACAAAATATTTTGTAGATTTCGTCATTGAGTGACCTGTGAAGGTTGATGTATCGCTAAACGAAAACAACTAGCAATTCCTAAATATTATAACACTGTGATTTTATGGCTTGAAAGCTGAAAAGTCGGCTTTCAAAAACTCAAAATGGATTACGTTCGAGAAGTTATTATCTCGAAGAAGAAAAAACGTGATAAGAAAATATGTTTAGCAATGAAAATATTTTTTTCTTTTCCAATTTCATTACTTTTTTTTTAACTTTCATTGTCGCTTTTATTCTTATTTAAAAATAAAATAAGACCATAATTTATTATAAGAGTTCTTTCTATCTCTTCATTGAAGTAAGAAATGGATGTGCCTGATACACGTGAGAGAAAACGACAAGACTTACTCAGGCCCGAAATTTGGCTCACATTCAACTCGCGGTTATATTATTACTATTGTTATTGACGATTCCGTTTTTATCTCAAGCATTCATTTTTATTCTTATTCTTATCAATAGTATTTCATTATTCTCTTATTCGATTATTCCTTTATTACTGCTGGAACAGTGATCGAGGTTGTCGTTACTGCTGTTTGAATATCTCGAGAACGAGGTTTGTTGCTCATAAAACATGGCTGCTTCAAATTGAGAAACACTTTTTTTAATCATTGTTATGGAAACAGCGTTTCTCTTTCTTTTATTCAGATCAATAAATGTATCTCAAGAATGAATTTACATGTTTATATTTTTATTTCTTTTCGTTTTATTTCTTTTTTAACAGAAAATAAAATTCTTTCGCTTTTATCCCTTTTCATTTGCAGAAAGCAAGCAATAGATTTCCAATTCTCATTGGGCATTTTCAGCTGTAATTTTTTATCAATGAGGAATTTAAGAATATGAAAATGTACTTATCACTGAGGTAAGAATTAAAAGCTGGAATAAAGAAAATAAATAAAAATAAAAACTTCCAAAAATTTCCTTCGCACAAATCTCTCGGCTTTTCATTATGGCCAACACTTGGAGAAATATTTGTTCGGTAAGGCCACTTATGTTATAAAAGCCAGATTAATTAAAAAAAAAAAAAAAAACACCGAATAAAGATTAAATTTAACATGCTTTTCAGAATATAAGACGCACCCTTATTTTAAAGACAAAGTTTTGTGGAACAAAGCTACAGTTGTATTTGAAAGATTTTTATGATACAAAAAATTCAAGATAATTTTTAAAAATATATTTATATCAGTCCACTCTATGATTGTTACTAGTACAGTGTAACCCGAATATAAGAGACTTCTCCTCCGGTCCCGACAACTCTCTTATATCCGGGTTACACTGTACCCTGTAACTCAATACCACCTGCATAGTCAGGGCATCAGAAACTATACCGGGTCCCACAGCATACTTTTCTGGTAAGGAGGGTGCTTACACACTTAATACAATTAAAAACGCTGGATTAACCTTTTTATAGAGTCAATGAGCACAACAGAGTAGACTGGACCCCCCCTAGGTATGTAGTGATTTTCCAAGCGTAGCTTAAATGTGGCACAAGGCCGAAAGTAAGGGGCACCCAGTGAGGATCGAACTCACTACTCAGTCGTAATGGATCTAGCAAGACAAGCTTTCTAACCATTACACCACGTCGAGGTGCCCTACCCCCATAGTTATGTATGCAGCCAGCGATGATGACGGGGCATCACTAGGCAGAGAGCTTCCTAGACTGAAGTCTATTTGCAGAGCGTTCTACCCGATGGAATCAACAGCCTTGTATCCGTAACCAAGACGAGGCTTCATGCTAGAGGACATCGACTGTAATTTGTCCCCGGCGAGGGATAGGCTCCGTCAGGTCTATTTGCTCAAGATACTATGAATGAATGAATCGCACCTCTCGCCTGTGGAACACCTTCTCCTGTTTCCCTGAGAGTTATAATCTCCAGCTATTCAAGTGTAATGTCAATCGACATCTCCAGTTGCCTTAATCTATCTACTACCCTCATCCTTTCTTCTATCACTCCTATCTGATCTTCCTATTTTCTGTAACCCCTTGCGTCCTAGTGGCTTCCCGCCTTGCTTGGGGTGAAAAAAAAAAAAAAATATCTCTCAGGTTTTCAACCCAGATATGTGGAAGGAACTAGTCTGGTTCTCAACTGCACCCTATGAACATACCCGGTTATGGGACTGACGATTCTATTGTCTCAAGTTGTATCTTCCTCTTTGTTTCAGTTGGTACTCACTCTAACTATCCTAAAGTATGTATATCGCATCTGATAATCTTTGAGGATCTAGGAAGCAAATTCTTTATCTTTATCACAATACCAAGCAGGATTAAAAACAAGACCCGTCAAAGAGTGGAGGAAAATTCTTTTAGAGTCATAGAGTACAATGTGGTAGACGGAGCTCCATAGCTATGTATGCAGTTAGTGCGGCGAGGAAACAACATCGAAGGGAGAAAGTCTTCCTAGATTGAAATAAATGGCCATGTGTGCGTAACCAAGGTGATCCTTCATGTTTTAGGATATGGCTGTGGATTGAGTTGGAGAAGAATAGGCTCCGCCAGGTGTACTTACCCAAGAAACGCTACGCATAAATGTTTTCAACCGACTCTCAACCCAGATATGTGGCGGGAACTGGTCAGGTTCTCTGCTGCACAATGACTCTATGGTCTCATCTGTCATGATAAAGATGATGATATATTCTTCTAGTTACAAAAGAGCTCGAAAAACAAAAATTACGCATTTTAAAAAAATATATTTACTCTTATTTAGTTTGGTTTAAAACCTACGAAAGCTCATTGCTTTCACCATCTCTTGTAAAAGAATCAATCATTTAATCACTGGATTCAATATTATGATCAAAGAGAATGCTATCCTCGGTCCCATTCATTGCGTTACTGACACTTCCCCAGGTGTCCAAGATCACGGAGTTCGATCATGAGTCCTTTCGATTCATGTCTGACTTAGTAGATTTCCCGCATTACCTTCTGCGGTAGACAGGTTGCCAACCATGGCCATATGGCCAATTCTGTCCTGCAATGTAACCCATAGCAGGAGAAAGAAGAGATGGATTCATACATTTCCTAAGATTATTTGCCTGTAAGTGAATGTAACGTACTCGACTGGAATTCGAACTCGGTTTTCCGATTTCTTATTCCGTTATCTATCACACCACTCGCACTTACAGCACCTTATATTCATAGCTGGTCAATCTTCAAGTGACCAGACTCAACGTTGCTTAACTTCGTTGACTCGGACAAGAACTGATGTTTTAATGTGGCATGGCCGTAAGAAAACTAATACCACATTTCGTAAATGGGTTAATCTCTATATTACTTGACTTTTCCCTGAATTTGGCAACCAAATGCACACCTGAGCACGCGTTAGTCAATACCTTCGTCCAGTAACGGTCGTCGCAAAATCCTACTGCGGTATTCACTTGTTTTATTCCTCCCTCATTGTCTTAAATTGTTTGTTAATACAATCAACAAGAAGTTGCATTTTACTTGCCTCTCTTATTTTTAGGGCATTAGATATTTTCCTTCGGATTCCCCCCACACACACACACACACACATTTTATGAGCTCTAAAAGAAATCTCAAAGAATACACACACACGCATATACATACATACCAATATATATATATATATATATCAACTTGTTTTAGTGGATTCAGCAATTTTCAACCTGCTTGTCTAAATCATCTTCAAGAAGCGAGAGCAAGATCTAATAGGTCAGCCAATCTAACAGTGATCTCATCTCACAATTCTCATACCTGCTCCATATGTGGCCTCCTTTGTAAATCACTAGCCGGTCTTAAATACCACTTAAGATTATCACATAATCTTTCATAACTGAATCAATAAGCTGGGAGATCCTCATACGTCGAAACCGACGGGAGAGTTCATTTATATATATATATATATATATATATATATATATATATATATATATATATATATATATAGCTATACTCGACTGGTATAAAAAAAAACGGATAGTACAATTAAAAATATATTTAAAACAAACTGGTATCTGGGGAAAAAAATTGGAAACAAAAGAAAAAACTAAAAAAATCCGAGTAAGTAAAAAAAAAAAATCGCCGAACGTCGTAATGCCTAGCCAAAAGAAGAAAAAAAAACAATCGAGTAAAATAAGAAAAAATGTAAAGAGCTCAATACACTATGTAGGGCAGAGAATAAAAATCCTAGTGAGCCAGAAACTACCTACCTACCTAGGTTGCACTTAAATGGATCTTCGCTCTGAAGATCCATTTAGGTAAAAACTAGGTAAGTAGTTTCTTGTTCACTAGGATTATATATTTATATATATATAAAGTGAACATTGAAGTCAACACTTAGAGGCGAGAGGCACATCTTACAGCACCTGCTATGGTATTCCCAAGCGGTCATTCATCTAAGTATTGATCAGGATCGACGTTGCTTAATTTCGGTGATCGTACGAGAATATATATATATATATATATATATATATATATATATATATATATATATATATATATATATACGTCCGATTGCTTCAAGCCTGGATCAAAATCCGGCTGATTTGACATCAGTCAGATATCCATCATCTCACGGCAGAGAAGAAGGAAAATTTTAACGTTTTTTCTAAACGAAATACGCTCCGAGAATTCAATTCATATATTTAGGCAGCAAGTACATTATTTACATTATTCGGACTATTGTTCTAGTTCCACGTGCCATGTTTTTAATGGATGTCAGTTATCAGTTATCTCCTGTTAATTTCCCACTGAAAATTCTCCACTGCCTTAACCGGGT